TGTAAATGATTGATTCAAAATGCATACCACAACCGCATTACAATGTTGAGGGTATAAATCTATCATAGATTCTAATACTTAATCCTCTTTTACACCTATGGATATTGAAGAGTGTTAATCAAGTGGATATTGACACTTGATTTTTATCAGTGATCCCTTCATTCATAAATTACATATTGAATGTAATTTTTGAATAAATTCAATGAAACTGAGACCTTTAACAACTTAATCCACCTTGGAGTGTAATTTTCAATTATTCATCATAGTAACATATCAAAGACACATATGATGTATTTATCTTGAACATGTCGTCCTCATTCTCCTATATTTCTGTACATAAGGAAAAAAAAACTAAAATGATTTAAATTCTTTGAATTTGGCAATAAGTGTTTGTGAGTCAAACACTTTACTATAAAAACTTAATGGTCCAAATTTGTTCATAGATGAAGAAATGTGGAAAAAAAATGTTCTCTTTGTTTGTGCTAATGTTTTCACAAAAATTCTTCATCTTGGCTGTAAGAGCAACCTTATGTATTACATTTTGGAGAACACAATGGAGAGAAAACATTGTAGGAAATTGAGGAAACCCACCACCTATTACAAGAACAACATCAATGGCTTTATTATCCTAAGCCCAAATGAAGCCACCAAATTATCTAGTATGGGGAACTTCCAATTAGGTTCTTGTCATTCTTATTATTCTCTATCTTTATCTTATCTTTTGATCTTAATTGGTTTATTTCCACTAGAGATGGATGAAGTGGTCTCTATGTTTTCCCAGCCAAGCAAAGAAGTGGTTTTTTCAAACTACAAGGTCTTGGGAATTTCTGAGCAAAAAAGATGAACTTGATAGGAGTAAGGGAGAAGGTTTAATGCACAAAGCTAGATATGAGCAAGATTTCATCATTGGACTCTTGGATTCAGGTAAATAATAAAGCAATAGAAAGGGAAGAAATGAACCCTAAATAGCTTTATTTTAGTAATTAATGTTGTTTATGTGTTAATGCATGTGTTGTGTTATTGATGATGACTAGGTATATGACCAGAATCAAAGATTTCTAGTGATGAAGGAATGGAGCCAATACCAAAATCATGGAATGGAACTTGTCAAGTTGGAGGTGTTTTCAACTCCTTTCGCTATAATAAGTAAGTTTTTCTGTTCAAAGATACTTAGATCTAATTGTGATGGTCTTTTTGAAGTAGGACCCCGTTCTAATGTTGTTAGAAACCAAAAAGGGTGTTTCCTCTATCCCCTTGTGAAATGACATGCATCTTATCCAATAGTTAGAGGTTTTCCATTTGAGTTGATTGTTGACACGTAATAGTAGGTGTTCGGCACCAGAGCATTTCACATGTGGGCTCTGATTCACAAGTGATTTGTTTCACCTGCTTTTTTTGAAAAATAGAAAAAAAACTGGGATACAGGCTGACTAGGCATTTAAAGTAATTTGTATTAATATTATAACATATTTACAATGACAACTGTATAGCATCTCAAAAAGTAGTTTACTTTTTCAAATTTTAATGTGTCATGTCATTAGGGTGATTTAGAATCACCCAAGTGATTCAAAAAATGTTATTTTGATGTTTTAAGAAACCCCTCCTTTCCCGAATTCCAAGGCTAATGCGACTTTCTAGACAATTCTATTTATTTGCTGATGTGGCACACATGACACATCAATAGAAATGGAATGGTTGTGAAACGCATTGGTGCGAAACACCTTCATAGTTGCTTGGATTAATTGGATAGGATCACCCATCCATTCGGAGCAATTTTTCTTTATGTAATAAGCCTATAAAAATAATTTGATCACCATTAAATTGGCAGTTTGAACAATTTGGAAGGGGACCTCACTGACATGTTTGAATAGCTCTATACACAGAGCTTTTGTTTGGTTACTGGTATTTGATGTAGATGTGTTATAGTCTTCTATATATATATATATAGAGGGAGAGGAGTTTGGTCTGGGAGTAGGAATGGCAATGGGACGGGGATCATATTCCCCAACCTTGACCCCGGTTCTGAAATTAATCCCCATTCCCATCCCCAATCCCCGTTGAGGATATAAATTTACTTAAAATAAATAAAGTTTTGAAGTATAAATAATGTTTTGATATATATAAATAATATCATATATATATAACTCTATTTAATATATTTATAATCAAGGTCAAGGTGGGACAGGGACCAATGTTTAAAATATCGCAATGTATCGGGCCGTATCGTATCGTTCCAACAAGAATTTGATACATGGAATGCGTATATGTAAAAACTTCAAATTTTAGCCATAGCAAGATTTGAACCTTGGTAACTTGATTTTAACAACAACAAGTTCACTAATGAGCCACACATATTTGTTTATTATGATCATATGCATTTTTAGTTTTAAGTAAATTTTCACTTTTCTTAATGAGTGACAAGTGTTTATTAATAAATGCTAGAATTAATTATTAAAATTTATATATTAATAAACATTAAGATTAATTATATTGGTTTTTTGAAAATTGACACTCACATTTTAGTTTATTTTTGGTTTTTTTAACATTTTAGCTATTCCATCATTTTCAATGGTTACTAATTGTGTCCCGATATGTCACACTTTATATAAATCATTAAATTATGGTTTTGTTACATTTAAATGACTTATTTGCAATTATATAAAATTTGTAAATATTGTTAGTAATATATTTTTTAGGATTTATTTAAATTTTCCACTATATTTATGTGTATTTTGATTTTTTATTCGTATTCATACATATCCAAAGCGTATCCCAATACATCTCTTATAATTGTCTTTCTGGTACACTTTACGTTTCTGATACTTTGAACCTTCATGGGGACCTCAATCCCCAACCCCTACCCAAACCCGATTGGGAATTTCTATTAACCTCGTTCCCGTCTCTACCCGCCAAAGCAATCTCCATCCCCGACCTAATGGGTCGGGGAAGTTGGGTCCCCATTAGGGATGGGGGGAAAATTATCATCCCTAGATGGGAGAGATAGAGCTTGAATGAGTTTTTTTACTGGTGGGAGAGAATAAAATTCGAGTATGCTTGGGGCTTTCTGGTCAATGATCCCAAAAAATTGACTTTTTTTTTGTTCTTTCACTGTTTTTGCAATTTATTTGAAAACATTACGGAATTTGTCAATTTGCTTATTTTTTTACATTAATTTTCTAAACTTTATTAATCTTTAGAGTAAAATATGAAAACCTCCCCTGAGGTTTCTGATAATCATAAAAACCCCCTCAAGTTTTACTTCAACAAAAATCTCCCGGAAAACTCAACACAAACCTCCCTTCTGGTCAGCCCCAAACGTAAAATGTTCATGCAGTGTCTTTTTAAATACACATTCTTTCCTTTTACCATTTCACAAATTTTCCAGATAAAGAAACCCAGCTTCTCCAAAACCGTCCCCATCGATGCTCCTCCTCACAGAAAACACAGAAAACATTACGTGATCTTCAATGAAACGCTCAGGAAGGCCTTGATATTGATGTTCATGAATGACCCAAAATTGAACTTCTGTAGTTGGCAAACGGTGGGCAATGGGTGCTTGACTACTACTTGCTTCAGACTTTGCACAAGCTGGGGTTCTTCTAGATCATTCTCCGATGGGCAATGGCTCTCCTGGTCAAGGTTCTGGATGAAGAAACCCAATGCCACCAAAACCATCCTTGTCAATGCTCCTCCACACCACGATGCGGAGGAGCATTAGATTCTAACAAAATCTATATAGAAGACCTACTACTTGATCCAGCCAAGCCCTCTGGAAACCAGGGATCAAGTGCACGTCCGCCATAAGGTTCTGGATGGATCTAATAAGTTGATCTTTCAGCTCAGCTCATCCAACTTTCTCATAAGCTAGCTCTGCTCGATCTTGTTCCAGGTACTCAACTTTGTTGGATCCAGTTGGTTTGTTCTGATTCTTTATGGAAGGCTAAGCATAGCCATGAGAAGAACCTAGGTGATAGTTCAAAGGGCCTTCAACTGCTACAGTTCTGGGGCTCTTCTAGAGGCATGCAGTCCTTCTCTTTCCCCACCTCACCGGCTCACCGCCCAGTTCAGAGAGTGGTTAAGTCCCAACGACCCATTGCCATTTAAAACAATTCAAGATTTTACTTCTCTAATTCCTTTTTCCACTCTCAAGTCTCAACCAACATAAGGTCTCTCTGAAGATGTAAGCTAATATACTGGTTGCATCACCGTTGGAGTAGGAGAAAGAAGAAATGAGAGGGGGGTAAAAAAGTGGAGGAAGAGAAAAAAAAGAAAGAGCAATGGTGCACTGGTTCGGTTGCTTAAAACAGGGGGGCAATGAGAAACCTACTTCTACCAAGAAACGAAAAAATATATTCACCATGTTTTGAAAATTTAATCAACAGTGAAGGGTACATTTGTCCTTTAGATTTAACATTTTCAAGTCAACCAGGTATTTCACATTTGGGAGAAGTACCAATCAGCCCTCTAGGCCTAAAGTACAAGGGGAAATGCATCTGACCGTGAATTGATGCTAAATTCACGGACAGGATGTGATTTATAGGGAGAGAGGGCTTAGTTGTAGGGGAGCTGGGAATTCAGAATTCTGCATCGTGTATCCGTACTTCTCCGTTCACATTTTTACTTGGCGAATATTTTGAAAAAATAATGCATCAGTCAAATGTTTTTCGTCTCGTAAGTAACGGAAGGGAGGTTTGTATTAAAATGTTCCTAAACTTTATACTTTATGCAAAAGATCCATAATAATAATAGTTTTATTCGACTCGGATTTTAATTAGGATAAGGTGGGTATGGATTCGCCTTAGATCCGATTATTAAGCGGATGCAAAAGCTATCACATCCAAATCCAGGAAAGTCGACTTCGGATACGTGTTCACTCGATAGATTATGTGTCCTTCGTGGTAATGTGCCATCGTCAGAATCAGATATTAGACACTGTGAAATCTGGTAATTGTCACTGAAATCGGAGGATGTTCGAATCCAATCCAATGGTCAAAAGTGTCCCGTCCTAACATCACCATTCTACCTGCTTGGAACACCTTCTATAATAACAATTCCAAAATCAGAGCTTCGATAAGGAAGAGCGACGTATCAGCACCACCACATCCACTTGACAGATGCATGCAGCGTGCGTATGATGTCAATGTCCGACATTCGAGCGCACCTGATTCTTCTTGATCCATAAAGGAAGGAAACTTTCCTCGGACTATGGCTGTAAATGTTGTTTCGCTAGTCTCTTCCCTTGTTGGTTCCTCCACTTCTCTAATCCTCACCAAACTACGCCCGTCTCCTGCTCTGCGCCTCTCTCTCCCTACCCCTCTCTCTTCTCCTCGCCGTCTCCGCATGGCTCATACGTCGGCCATTCGGGCCACTCTTGGTCTTACTCAACCCGCTAATGTTGAGGTCCCCAAGGTCTCTACTTTTCCCTTCCTTGAAACTTTTGCAATCTCAATCTCTCTTTTTACATGATTATTGTTGCTTAAAGATTGAAATATCCAGATGGGTTTGTCAAATTACTTGTTTGTTGGCGTTTGTAGTGTTGATTGGTTTAGAGTTTGGCATGCATGTTACCTGTTTGTGAAAAATTTTGACAGATTGCCTTCTCTGCGAAAGAAATCGATTTGGTGGAATGGAAAGGAGACATCCTTGCAGTGGGTGTTACAGAGAAAGACATGGCCAAGGATGACAATTCTAAGTTCAAAAATCCGATCTTGAGAAAGCTAGATGCCCATTTGGGTGGCCTATTGGCCGAAGCGTCCTCGGAGGAGGACTTCACAGGGAAATCTGGACAGTCAACGGTTCTCAGGCTTCCGGGTTTGGGCTCGAAAAGGATCGGTCTGATTGGGCTTGGGCAGTGCTTACCATCGTCGGGCACGACTACTTACCGGAGCCTTGGTGAAGCTGTTGGAGCAGCCGCTAAGGCTGCCCAAGCAAATGATGTTGCTATTGCGCTTGCTTCTTCTGAGGGGATTTCTGGAAATTCAAAGCTTAACACCGTTTCAGCAATAGCATCGGGTATGTGTACGATGAATTGATGCCTTCTTAGATTGAGATTGACATTCTTGTTATATTATGATGAATTTGTTGGGACTTGTTGTCACAGGAACTGTGCTGGGGGTTTATGAAGACAATAGGTTTAAGTCAGAGTCAAAGAAATCGTTGCTTAAGTCGGTTGATATCCTTGGTCTTGGGACTGGACCTGAACTACAAAATAAGCTCAAGTATGTAGGTGATGTTTGTTCAGGGGTGATACTTGGGAAAGAGCTTGTAAATTCACCCGCCAATGTGCTTACACCTGGTTCGTAAGAGTTCTTCTCATCTTTCTGAATCTGCATTTCTAACTATACCTGGACTTATTTTTTTTATTTTTCTATGTTGGTGTTCTATGCATATTTGGTAATTTGTTCTTGAAATAGTTATTTTCCATCTAGGAACAATACTTCATGATTTGTTCTTGGAAAAAGCGTGGTCTTTGGCTTTTTAGTCCATCGGATATGTGACAATGTAATGGAGAATCTGGAATCAATAAATGAACTTGTCTTCGGCTTAGCGGGACAATCATACTAAAAGTTGTAGAAAAGCATAATGCCCTTCAAGCGATCGTCTTTTTATATTTTATGTTGACACGAAGGACCAGTAGCATCCCACCAAATATACTATCTGCTTCATAGATAATACTGTCTCCCTTCACTTACTGTCTATATGGCTATATCATCCATTTGGGAGACCTAATTGGCAGTCGAACTTCTTTCTTGTGCTTATTTGGCCTTGTATTTGTTGGCCTCTGGAAGAAACTGATAAAGATTACTGAGTGTGGTTCGTCACTGTTTGTCTGTCATATCAGGGGTATTGGCGGAAGAAGCTTCCAAAATTGCTTCCATGTACAATGATGTTCTTACTGCAACAATATTGGATGTGGAACAATGCAAAAAACTGAAAATGGGTTCCTATCTGGGTGTTGCTGCTGCTTCTGCAAATCCTCCACATTTCATTCATTTATGTTATAAACCTCCAGGTGGTGCAGTCAAAGCCAAGTTGGCATTAGTCGGAAAGGGTTTAACATTTGACAGGTAATTACTTCCTTTCGCTATTCTGTTCTTACTTTAAAGCAGAGAGGTAATTGAGGAATAACTGCTTTAAAGTGGGATTTCATGAGGGGAGCCATGCTCATGTTTATATCTATGTGGCACACAACAAGGTCTTAAGAAAATTTAACTGATTTGCCACATGCAACCATCTAATTTAGACATTTTTTATGTGATGCATTTAATGATCCATCTCTTTATGTTGGGATTGGCTTACTTATATCCTTACGTAGAAGTTTCAATTAATACATGTTTCATAGGTCCTCCTGCACACATTTTTGTGTGAAAAGGCTGTCTGTGTCAGACTCATCACACAAATAACACCTATTTCTGTCTCTATTGTTGCAACAAGAAGGCAATGGAGGGAATATCCTTGCTTCTTTTTAGCTTTTGCGTCTATTACACTGACTTGAATGTTTTTCCTCTTCTATGTTAACAGTGGTGGCTACAACATCAAGACTGGACCAGGTTGTTCTATTGAGCTCATGAAGTTTGATATGGGAGGTTCAGCAGCAGTGCTAGGTGCAGCAAAAGCCATTGGCCAAATCAAACCTCCAGGAGTAGAGGTAGGTTGTTTTTTTTTTTTGTTGGGTTCCACAATTCCCCCTCCCCTAAAGCAATTAAAATTGGTTGAGCATGATCTTGTACATGGCTAATGGTCCTTTATCTTCAGGTCCATTTCATTGTTGCAGCTTGTGAGAACATGATTAGTGGTACAGGCATGAGACCTGGGGACATTGTCACAGCTTCAAATGGCAAGACTATTGAGGTAATACTTTTTCTTTTAACATTATCTTCTTGTTTAATTTCTAGGTTGCTTTCTTTAACACCCCTGCCCTGCCCCCCACCAAAAAAAAAAGGAAGAAACGAAATAAACCCTTCACCTGCCTGTGGGAGGGGTCTCAACACATGACATATCCACCGTATTATATATAAGGGTAAATGACCATGGTTTCTATTTTACTTCATACTTAACTATCATATTCTCTGTCATACAACAAGGGGTAACATTTATCTTTGCCATCTGAATTTTTCTTCATGGGAAAAGGGTTCTGATCTTTCAAAACTTGATTTGTTTCTATTTTTCATCTCTTGTGCCATGTGGCGTTGCTTCAAACATTAAACTGGATCCACTTGACACTCATGCCCAACCTTGTATTGGCATGGTTCCCCTTTGATATCAGTCTAGTTGAAAATTGGAAATGCACATCTGAGCACTCAGTTTGGATTTTTTTGTTCCATCTTTTAATACTTCTGGTTTTCATTCATCCTATGGTTCATCAACCTGCAAAGAGACCTTAGATCAGTCTTTTTTTTTGTTTTTTTTGATGGTCATACTTTGAAGACAATTGTATTTGTACATATTTTGTCGATGCAACTGTTGCCATCTAGCTGCTAGTCCACTAATGATTAAAAACTGCTTTGTACCTTAACCAACTTAAGACTTTGGTGAAAAGTGCTTTGTACCTTAACCAGTATCTTCCACTTTGTTCTTGAATGTTACTACTGCTGGTTGTTTATTTATTTTGAGGAGAACATGTTGCATAGTGTCATAGAACAATCTGGTGTCCCTTCAAAGGTCCTGCTTACTTTTTATGCTTATGCTGAAAAATTCTTTAAGTGATATGTGAGGTTTAAGTGTGGCTTGTGGGATTCATTATCTAATGCAGGTTAACAACACTGATGCAGAAGGCAGACTTACTCTTGCAGATGCCTTGGTATATGCTTGCAACCAAGGTGTAGGGAAGGTATGGTTCAAATACAATATCATGAATTATGATATTAACTGACTTTAATGGTGAAAAAAGTTCAAATTGTTCTTTAAGAGAAAGATATAGGGCATAATGATAGAACATGATTCATACATCAGGTAAGGAAGATGAAGATGATTTGGAATGAAACTCATGTCTTTTGGCTTTTGTTTTGGGTTGAGGACTTCATTGCAAATGAATCTTCAATGATGTTTTTTTTTTTTTTTTTGATAATTATGAATCTTCAATGATGTTAGCACATATGTATGTCTGTCAAGCTTTTAAAAGGCTAAAAGTGGAGGCGAGGCCTAAGCCTCAAGGTGGTTTGAGACCAAAGCCTCAAAGTATAAATATAATTTATTTTTAATTTTTATTTTTATGTATTAAATTATGTTCTTTATAATGTGATACTTTTCTTTTAATTTAATTTTATATTTATAACCTTTTTACCCAAATAAAAATGGCTTTAGATAATTTATATATTTTAGACTTTTCCAATATAATCTAATTTATAAATGATGAAGAACTAAAGCTAGCAAAAGGGGGATGGGGGTGAGGGGTCTGCCAGAGTGTAGGTGGGTGAGCCGAAGCAAAGAGAGCCCCTTACACAACAAAGGTGTTGGGGGCAGATTGATCCCAAAAAAAAAGATGTTGGGGTTTGCCCCTGACCCAAAGCAAAACTTGTTTAGGGATATTCTTGTTCATTGTAATTAGATTTGGGGAAAAGAAACCCTATTCTAACATGTACATTTAGAAAGAGAAAAATAAATGACATTTTTGGGTTAAAATAAGTACTATGGGAAATTTTTAGTGTAAATTGTTTTATTTTATTTATAAACAACTAAATAATCAATTTTCTTAAATTTTAATAAGTATTATAACTAATTTATAATCTATTTTCTTTTTTTTTTCGGTTTTAATGCTTTTTGTATGAGGCATCAGCCTCTCAATAATAGAAGCAGTAGCCTCTTAGCAGATGGGCAAGGCGCTTGAGGCCAGGCATTTTGGCTTCAGCTTGCCTCGGGGCATGCACCTCAGTGCTTTTAAAACTATGATGTGTGTACACACATAACCTAGACAAATGCATTATGATACATGCACTTATGTATTTGAGATATTAAAAAATGATAGGGAACCTTTTTGAAGAGTTTGTTGTTGACTGTTACTCTTTTTACTATTTAATGAATAAAGTGTATAAAAACCTCATTTATAGAATATACTTTCATTGTCTTCTTCGATGTTACCAAAAGTTGCACCTCTGGTGTGCCTGGGCTCATAGGTGAGGCTCATTTTCTGGTGTACGACTCACCTGAAAGGAGTGTCTTGCCTCGATTTTTGTCATCTTTCGATGAATTAACCTTAAATTTGGTATTGAATGGGCAACTTAAATATGTCACAAGTTGTAACTTGTAAGTATGATGTTTAGAGTCTAAAACCTATGAAAGACTTAAATGTACAAGGCATTTTGTGTTAATAGCACAGTACTCTAAAATCGAATTAATAAACTTTCTGTAATATTTTATTTTTTTGTTTCTTTCAGAACTTAGATTTGGATATTCATATATATTAAGTTTTTCTTTTATTTTTTTAAGTGCATCACACTTCATTCAGTCATATTCAGTCATGCCCTTGCCTTGTATGTAGGGGTGACAATTGGGCGGGTGTTTGGATGGGTGACAATCAGCATATAATCCATCATCAACCCATTTAGAGAAAATAAATGGGTTAGGTTGAACCCAAACCTGCCTTGACCCCACCCAACCCCACCCAACCCATCAATTTTTAAATAAAACATAGAAAGATGCAAACAAAAAAAAAGAAATTACAAGAAAAATAAAACAAATATTATAGAAAACACAAAAAATGAAAAAACAAGCTAACAAAATTACAAAAGACATAAGAAAATATTAAAAAAAAAACAAAAAAGATAATAGAAGTTGTGGGAAAATATAACAGGAATTATAAAAAACACAAAATGAAAATAAATAATAAAGTTGCAAAAAAAACAGAAAAGTAAATCGTAGGTAGCAAGAAATAGAGAAATAATGAAAGCTAGCACACGATGTATAGAATTAGTTATTAATTCTACCTTTGGGGATATTCATGAAACACTTTCCGGGCTCAATTTTTGAGAAGAAACAAGGGATAACTTATGCCTGTCCACAATCGTGAAGTCCGAGAGTTCCCACCGATCACCGACAATGAGCCACAGAATTATCTGAGCTCATTGGGTCTTTTACCCCCTCTAGTTCTTATGACAGCTGAGGTCTTGATTTGTGGTGTTGTTATCCAAGTCTCGAAATTATTCAAGCTTTTTAGCTCATCGATCCTATAACTCCAATTCTTCGATGAAAACAGAGGTACTGTAACTGAATTCTTGATCCATGGTGGCGGTGCATCCATTGTCTCCTTCTCACATGCAAGATGTGGTAAATTTATCTCTTCTTTGTTTGAAATGGCTCAAAGTCACTGATCAATACCTGAAAATGAGTAATGGAGAAGATCCCAATGGCAGACATGATGGATTATATGCTGATTGGGAAAATGCAAGGGATCTGCTGATAAAATTGTAGAGGGAGAGAGAGGTGTAGTGTGAGAACAATTCAGGGTTTGGAACCAGAGAGGGTCAAAATATCATGAAAGGTAATGAGTTATCTGTTGGGTACCCATGACCCAACCCACCCAAACCATCAAGTCACCCTTTATTGGGTTACCCAACCTGTAGTGACCCAGAATTAAATGGATACAACCCAACCCATCAATTAGTGGTTGGGTTGGGTTGAAAAATTGCCACCCCTACTTGTACATCAGGCTCTAGGTCTAGGAACAGCCTGAGCTTTTGTTTTGCTTGTTTCTTTTAAAGTACTTTTTTTTTTATTCTTTTTGTATTCTCAAAAGAAAAAAGGAAAAGAGAAAAAGAGAAGTCTACTGAAATGGTTTTGACAGTTAATTTCTTTTGAATCCTGAGTTTGCAGTTGAGTAGTTCTTGTCTATATTGGTGGGCCAAGGTCCAGCCCAGATAGGTCATTCATATGGGTTCCTTCAGGTGGAAATGCATTGTCCTTGAACATTTGTGACGTTTGTCATCAAGCCACTAAAAATCAATGTAAGAAATGGGAAATTTGGGGATTTATCTAGGGAATTATCACAGAAATTGTTTATTGGCCTTTATCATCATCTATTGGTAATAACACTTATGAGTTTGTATATATGGTCTGCCAGCTAATCTTCTATTTAGCTTAGCAGTTTGAGTTTCAAGATTTCATGGAATTTACATTATTCATGGATTCAATTTTGTCTTTGAACTTTTGTTCATTTGAGAAGATCCATCGTCCTTGACATTCTTTTGGATTCCGGGTTTGTAAAATATATTCATTGAAAGTTATATTTTTTTTCCATTGTCTCATTTAGATATTCCTTTCAATTCTACATAGGTGTTCCTTTTTGTAATTTTTATTTAAACTTTTTGATACAGATAGTTGATTTGGCAACATTAACTGGGGCGTGTATAGTTGCACTTGGGCCTTCCATTGCAGGTATATTCGGTCATATGTTTTTACTTTTCTATTCCATTCTTTGAAATTCATTTTCCTCTGGTCTTACTTTACCCTATGTTTTAATGTAACACAGTCAAAGTGTGCATGACCATTTTATATGGTGGCCTGCGTCTTACTCTTCAAAATATTTTCTAAATTTTTCTAAAGAGGTTAATTAGAAGTTTTTATCCATCTATCTATTGGAAACCTTTATTTATGATGCAGGAGTCTTCACACCGAGTGATGACCTAGCAAAGGAGGTATTTGCAGCTTCAGAAATCAGTGGGGAAAAACTTTGGAGGATGCCTTTAGAGGATAGCTATTGGGAGTCCATGAAATCAGGAGTAGCTGACATGGTTAACACTGGAGGTCGTCAAGGTGGTGCTATCACTGCAGCCCTATTCCTGAAACAGGTACCTACATGATTATGATCTGGTATACTATATACTTGTATAGGAAAATGCTTAGGTAAGAACTTTTGCTCCTCTAAACTCCATTGAGTTGAGTGGACATGTATGCCACGAAATTCATGAGCTAGTTGGGCCTTGTTCAATAGATAGGTTCACATTGGAGATCTCTCAGCCAAAAAAGTTTGGAAGTTTAGTGTGATTGAGTGATCCTAAGTCCTAATCATTCTACCACATTCTAATTGGATGGTTAGGGGAAAGTTTTCATGTTGTTTCTCATAATCGGAATGGTAGCTAACTGGCTACTGACCCATTTTCATGTCTGCCATACAACCACATGAGATGGTGCAAGTGAGGTTGATGACATGACATCAGACCGGCTTCTGAGTTTAGCCAAGAAATTTGGTTGGGCAAGCAGAGATCATTGGCAGAGGCCAATATTCCCATGAAGGGAATCCAGATCTGCTAGTACAAACAACGCTTGGCACAGTATAAGTTGATGCCACCTATCCTCAACATACAAGCACTACATGCATTCGTGCACCTTGTTTTTTGAAAATTCTCAAGGGTTAAGTACAGGTTGCACAAAACAGGGCTGTCCCTAGTTTTGTTTGTTATTGGCAGATTCAAACTCGTGGTGGGCTACTGACCTATACGGCTATACCCTCGCCCCACCACACAAAAAGAAGGGTCCGTTTGGTTTGTGGGAATAGGGGTCTAGAATCGGAGTCGGAATGGCCATACTGTTTGGTTGGATGGAATCGTAATCCAATTTCCGTTCTTTGTGGCATGGCGTTTCTTCCTTTGAGGGAGGGAATGGTTATTCCAACCCCCATGAGATTGAGAATCCCATTCTAGCCTTAAAAACATGACTCTCCAAACCCTATTTCCCTTTAACCTAATGCCAATCCTCCTTCCATCTTTTCTTGCCCCTCAACAGCTAAAGCCGATCACTCTAGTGAGGTCAATCACCGCTGGTCATTGATTCTCATTTTCTAGCATTGTTTATTATTATTATTATTTTATATTTTCAGTTGTTTTTCTTCGTCTCTCTGTTGGCCCCCTCCAAAATGCATCAATTGGAATTAGATTCTGATTTCCAAACCCAAGAGGTGGGGGGATTAGGCCGTTATGATTCTGATAGGGGATTTCGATTCCCATTCCAACCACGAACCAAATGCAACAATAAGAAAAAACAAGTGGGCAACTGGATGTATTAGTTTTTATCTAGCAAAAAGGGAAAAAGAAAGAAAGAAAACTGAATGCATAATACGATTCTAAGATTGGATGGTTTCCCTTTTTGCAGTTCGTTGATGAGAAAGTTCAGTGGATGCACATAGACATGGCGGGTCCTGTTTGGAATGAGAAGAAACGCACTGCTACCGGATTTGGTGTCTCAACCCTGGTGGAGTGGGTTCAAGCAAATTCATCATAGTTCATGCTGAGGCATAGTAATCATGTGTAAGCACAATTCCAAGAGAGATCCCAGTTGGGTGTAGAAAAATTCGTTCATTATCAAATAAAATGTAATGGATGAGGAAAAGGAAAATGGGAAACGTTTTTTTTTTTTCTTTTTGTTTTCAGAGTAAATCGTGGTTAGAGTCTGCCTTTTAATGATTTTCAGTGGTAATGAAAATGCATTTATGGTAAACTTGCTAGAGGGAAAATAAGATTAATGAAGACAAAGGAATTAAATAGATGGGCATTGGTCATTTGGGTAAACAAAAATAAGAAGCAAAATATATTTGGGCTACTCCATTGCAGGGGGTTGTCTTACGCAGCCTCCCGGTTCTAAAATTGCTATGGATTTGAATATTTGGGCTATCATTTGGAAGATCTTGCCTTGGCAAACAAGTTGCAAAGTTCTTTTATTAGCTATTTAAAGCCTGCTTCTTTGAATGGAATTTCATTACGGTCTTCCATTTCATTGCATTATAGACTTGGCTACCAAATAAAAAGCTTTCCCGGTTTGTCAAATATTTGGACGGCCGGGGTGAACAAATGTTACACGAAACCTGGGAAATCGGATTTGATGCTCACAGTTCTCACAACCCTTTTTAATACAAATATGAAGATATTCCAAATGCATGGAACGGAACAGTGTTAGTACAATTTTGTTAAAGACTGAATCCTTCCTCAACCCTGAAAACCAAAGTGAAGCAATTGTTTTTTCTTGTGACGTTCAAACAATCCATTAATAGACTGCTTTACAATATATTTAAATTATATTATTATTTATGATTTATTTTAATGAGAGTAGTTTTCTTCACTCTCTAGATGCCTTTCTGTGATGTTTCATTTGGCTGTATCATGGTAGATTTGCATGTAACACATGATGTACAAAGGGGTTGCTAGCTACTTGTTAGATAACCAATTCGCTCACGAAAGTTTGCATATATTTCTCACAAAGGTCAGCATTTTCAGATTGAAGCATTTTAATTCAGCTATTGTTTTTGTCATTTTTGTTAGCAATTATTTTCCTCGCTTTAATTTGTTTTGATACTAAAAGCAAGGGACAACATACTTGTAAAAAATGGAACTAGAAGGAAGCATTTGGGCGATTCTTAAATTAAGAAGTAAATAAATTTGCTCAGTCTCATTCAAAATGTGAATTCACATGGGCATCCCACAGAATGCGCTCCACATGCCCCACAGCACATCCCAATGGTGTATTGAAAATATCTCTCCCAGTTTACATCTGCACCTCACGGGGCGTCCCATAATGCCCCACAGCACATCCTGGTCTTGTATTGGAAATATCTCTTAATGATGTCTCATCATCTCTCATACTTGTCATCAAGCCCCATAGGGCACAGATCTGAACTCCATCTCTTCATGACAAATATGGAAGATATTCTCAATGTTCATGTTGGGTACCTGTCGGGTGCCAACCTGAACTTTCAGAATTTAGTGCACTGTGCACTGAGCATACGTATTTTATAGTGTGGTGGCAACTGGCAAGATTGTAGCTCTCTGTTCTTTCACATGGAAAGTGTACTGTGGTACTAGGTATTCCACTTCAAGTTGGCAACTCGTCTGTCTGGGTCTTAATTTCTTGTCCATGTATCTGTGTCTCTTTCTGCTTGCATATGTTTAAAAAAGAGTAAGAGGAGGGCTCTGTAAACTTGAGTGTAGGCCAATGTTCTGCAAAGTTGAATTTCCATGATCTATATATAACATTAAAAACTGATATGTATGTATGTATACATGTATATATGTATTAATCTTTATTAACTTATAAGTACTGATGCTTTAAACCCTAATTGCTCTCACCTGATGATGGACATTGAATTCCACTGGAGCCAGAAGGTTGCCATAAATCTTGATCATGTTTCGTGGGCATAAATCCACGATACCTTCTGAAGGGGTTACCGTAGAAGAGTCTGGATCGCAGGGCGACCTTCTGGTTGTTGATGTATACAAGGACGATGATCCCATGGCTGTCCAAGGAAAGGGTACAAAAGCTTTGTCTTTGACAGCAGAAAATGGGTCCATGAGTTACCCATTTCATAAAATGGCGGGGGTTTATACAAGAGCCTTATCAGCTCCATATCTCCACATATGACTCGAATCTGGCTATAGGATCCTATCAAAATTTAGATCTGGCATGGATCCCACCATATATGTGTTTTTCCTTGTAGATATGAATTTGGTTGGATTTGCTCTAGATCGGACCTGTTTGTTCCCCTAATGACAAGATAAAGGGATTTCTTTTAACCATAGTTTAATTGAAAATGTGAAGATTTGGGGCTTTAGTGCTTGCTCATTACAGAGGTGGGCTCATTTGGGAGGGCTGAGTTGAAAAGTTGAAGCGGATAACTGTCAGTCAATTTGAACTCTTCAGATTTTTCACGAAACATAGCTTATAAGCTGTTTATGAGGGGCCCACCTCAGAAAGCCAGAGCCGTGTGTGTGCTTCAGCCCTCCCAAATGGGCACATAGTGTAGATACATAATTAGGCAAAGTGGCAAATCACTAAAGCTATGTTTCCTTTGAAGGAAAAAGTAAGGAAAGGAGGGGAAAGGTAGAGAAATCTTTACAAACCTTGTATAAATTTCCCTACCTTTCCCCTCCTTTCCCTACCTTTTTCCTTCAAACCGAACATAGCCTAAAGGGCTATTGGTGGGGGATTTAGGGCCATAGGCCCATAGTCCAACACAAGAGTTTCACTACTCACTACTTCTTGGATGGCCAAGATTGCTCATTCCGTTTTTTCTTTCTGACATGGTTAGAGAAAAAAATATAGTTCAATGTTTTGTGGTAATTTGTTTTCCTAGAAAGCAAGAGATTTCTAACATTTTCATTTTTAGGTATGGGTTTGCTAGCAAAGTGATTTAGGTTTTACGCTCAAATTTTGTGTCTGTAAGAGTAAATGGATTATATAATTATTGGAGGAAAACTAAAACGTATCGGCCTTCTTAAAATACAACATCAAATAAGCAGGCGGAAAATGTTTTATTCTAATTAGGGGAATATTGCTTATCTTAGAGGAAAATGATTTGACTCTGTTGTTCATAAGTTAGTCTTGTCGGTGCAGGAATTTTGGATTTTGGGCTTTTTCCTTTTGTTTTTTAATCTTCTCCATTAAGTCCATATGTCTGTAAAGGCTTAGAATAGCTCCAACTATTTGCCATTATTTTAAACTTGTTCATGGGTCGGGCTGGGCTTTTATTCTTCATAAACAGATTTTTTCAGGCCCAAGCCTGAGCGTAGGCCAACCATCGGACCTACAACTTAGGCTTGAGCCTGAAACCCAAAGCTCAACTTACTATCACTGAACAGAGAGAGAGAGAGAGAGAGAGAGAGAGAGAGAGAGGACCTGGTCAGGCTTGCTGCTGCCGCTGAACAGAGAGAAGGAACAATTGAGAAGAAACAGCCGAATAGGGAATTGAGAACCACTGGTCCATTCGTCGGAGATTGCCACCTTGCTAGAGAAGAACGCATATTGATCCATTGGCCGTTGCTAGGTTGAGCTCTGACCTCTGAGAGATGAGCTTCTTAGGAAAACAATGAACAGAGTGAGAGAGGAAAGGGGAACATTGGGCTCAAATAGGGTTTTGGGATTTATGAGTTTAGAAATTAGAAAGAGAAAAAATAAAAACATGTATATATATTAATAAATATTATATTTTATATAATATAAGCTAGTTGGGCTGAGCTGGGCTTTTTGACAAACCCCAAGCCTGGCCTGAAACATAATCGAGCTTGGTGCTTTGGGCCCAAGGTCAGGCCGCAGGCTTAACTACATGTCCAAGCCCAACCAGGGAGCGGGTTGGGCGGTTGGGCTACCCGACCATGAACAGGTCTACACACAAAAACAAAGGTAAAAAAAAAAAACAACATGTTACAAGTTGAAAGGTTGAGAAGAGTTAGAAACAAGCCAAACAAGATAGACATAAATTGAAGTAGTGAGAAATGATTTAAAGGCCCAATCTATAATTGTAGGAGCCATTCTACAATGTGAGTTGTTTTTCTCGTTGTTTGTTTTAAAAACAAATCAAAACCATTTGGCTTAAAAATAGATTATTTGTCAAAAAAAAGTACAAATATGTTTTTGGTTGTGCATGCATTTTTTATTTTCAGGATTAAAATCAAAAACATGTTTTTGAATTTTTGGTTTCCAAAACATGTTTTTATTTGGTTATTTAACATCATGTTCCACAAATCATATAATTTCTACACTACAAAATTTATTTTTATTTTTAAAACTATTATTTTGATGGTTCCAAAAATGTACATATTTTTTTAAAACTAATCTAAACTTATTTTTGCTTACCAAAACAAAAATAAAATTCAAGAACATGTTTTTTCTTTGTGATGTGGTAATTTCAAAAACAAATAAAAGCAAAGAACATTCATGTTGTAGAACACCCCCATAGAGTGATTAGGCATTGTTGATTAGAATTGAGTTTGTAATCAGGCCAACCTGTGTTGTTTGTCTTTTTTCTTGACCAACCCATTTTTGCAACCCTCTCCTACTCCAACCACAATCTAGTGCTGTTAATGAGCTGGGTCTGGTCCAGGATAGGATAGATCCGGTCCCAAGCCAATAAATGAATTTCTGAAACCATTAATTGGAAGTCACCTAATTCGAAGCTGCATTTAACATTTTAAGAATTTATCTCCTTTTACAATTAAATACTTAATGTTTATAGAGAAATTTTAACTATAAAAAGGAGATAAATCCTTAAAATAAGGAATGTCAAATGAAGCCTAAGATGATGAATATGAACATTATCTTTAGTGTCTCTGAGAGGAAATAAGTTGAAGGAAGTAAAAAAAAGGCTAAAAGCAGACAAAAATGACATTGACCGAAATAATAAGAAAATGGGTGAATCACTCATAATTTAACACTAACACTGGATATAACATTAAACGGAATGATATTGCAAAACGTGATCCTTCACTCCATATATATAATTGCAAAATGATTTGGGCAGTGTTTGAGATTGTTTATTGTTTAAATAAGTGCTTATCCCAATAAGAACTTATTAGTGATTTAATGCTTGCTGAAAAAGTGTTTCTATCTGGGGTAGTATGTATTTTGATTGTTAGGTGGTGGCGCAAGATAGGCTAGAAATGCAATAAATGCTTATTGAAAAAGCATTTATAGAAAGGCCATATTTTTTTGGCTTTGAATGATGCTTTTTGGTAAAAAAAGCGCTTATTAAACATTTTTTGACGCCCATTTCAGCTTAATTGGATGCTTTTTGAATCTTTTAAGTACTTGTCTCAACAAACACTTATAATTCAGCACTTCCAAACGCAAGCTTAGATGATGATGAATCTCAAAGCAGACCTTCTAACAGACCTAAATTATTAATGAGGACCTATAATTTGACAGTTGACCTACTCATTTTTTCAAGTTGATACATTTTATACGATGATATGATAGTATGTATCAAGGTTTTTAAAATTGAACCGGACAACGAATTGGTCAGAGTCCGGTTCTCAGGTTAAATGGTCCAACTGTTTGAATTGAATAGATGGTTTATTCTAATAAAAAATAAAAAAATAAAAATGGTCAAATCATTGAATGGTTTGAACGATTCAACCACTTGGATCAACAATTTACCGACTAAATCAATGGTTTTTGGTAAAATAACGATTATAAGATAAAATGGAACTGATCACCTGACTAGTTCCCGGTTTTTCCGGTCCGGTCCGGTTTCAAAACCATGGTATGTATTACAAGTATACCACGATAATTGGATTAAGGGTATTTTTGTAACATGATAAGATATAGTAGGACCGGTCAGGTTTGATTCTTTCAGTCCGACCCGATCCATTGACAGCCCTACTCCCCTACATCAATCAAATGCCTGGTCTATGTGTCATTTTGATTTTGTGGCTTCTCACGTGCGAGCTTTAAACCGAGAGGGATTACAGAACAGGGTTCTTGGGTAGTTGGGTTCACTCTTCACAGGCCTCTGGTTTCAGACAAAGGATTGATTCGTCTCAGTTTCTTTCTCGTTGGCTTGACCAGGACGAGATTTACTCAGCTCCAGGTCTAGAAGATTATAACCCAATAGAGTGTATCACTTGGGATCCGATCACTGATCACAGTGAGAAGAAAAGAAAGAAGAAAATGTCACTTTGTTCTTCGTATTCTCAAAGAAGTTTCTGGATTGATCGTTGATCATGTAGAAGTAAACTTAGATTCGAAGAAAAATGAGCGTTTCTCTCACTGTAATGACCTTCAATCTCCACGAAGATCAGCCAGAAGATGGTCCAAACTCATGGGAGAAAAGGAGAGATTTGTGCATAAGCGTCATTACCAGCTATTCTCCGATGATCCTCTGCACTCAGCAAGGTTTTCCTCGTACTTGGTTCTTTTTTTCTTTTTTGCTGAAGTGGTCGATCTGGGTTTTAATTTGGTCTGTTTTTCGAGATGGGTTTTGCTTCCTTTTGCCACTAGTTGAGTTTTCTCTTCTGAAATGATTGACTTGGGTTTTGTATAAATGATGCTTCCTGACATGGGTTCTTGCTGCATTTCACGCTTTTTTCCTTTAAGGGAGGTTAACCATGGTTTTTCCGTTTTGACATTTTGTTGCTTACTTTTGTTTTTGTTTTTGTTTTCTGATGATTGCTTGCTTTTGTTTTAACTGTTTAATATGGGATCCTGTATCTGAGATTTTAGTGATGGATTCCTGCTGTAGGTGTAAGGTCGCAGTTAGATTTTCTTCAGCAAGGTTTGCCAGGTAATATGCCAGATTGATCTGGTATGCTGAGTACAGTTATAAAAACAGTCTGTGCATATGAGCTCCATAATATGCAAATTGGTATATTTCTGTGGCTTTGGTTGGACTTAGTTTATTTTATCTCTTTCTGAATTTAAACGAGCTTGTTTAGGAACAGAAAAAGGGAAATCTGAATTTGTGCATACTTCGTCTTCAATTTCTGACCTTCTTATGCAGAACCGACAAAAATCTGTTTATCTTTTATACTCATTTTCAGCTTAGCTTAAGAAGCATGACATCATCTTCGACTTCTTTAAACTGTTCCTTGCAATAAAAAAAATTGGGTGCTTAAGTGCGAAGTGGAACAAAGGCTACGTGTTAGCTAAGACCAAGTCTTTGGGTTTATGGTACTTATTTGATAAGACCATTACTTCAAATTATCTGAGTCTGAATTTGAAATTTGATTCTATATCATTGGATTTGGATTTCAAAAATCAGATTCATTTTTAATCGGATCTAATTTGGGTCTACCCCAATCCAATCTGACACACCATGTTATCTGGGAAGTCTTGGTTAATTAGGCAGGTTGTGCATGATAGATTAATTCCATTGTTTTTATGGTACCAAACCCTATTATCATGACGAGAGGAAGAATTTATATTTTTACAAAAGGGAATTAAAGATGAGGTAGCAAACAACTAATCAAGTTTTCAGTTCCTTTCGGATCTAAATGTACAATCAATCATTTAATCTATCAAAAGGAGTGTCAATTAATTCAATGTTTTTTATTTTCTAATTTAGATCTAATTATATAAAATTTAAATTAGTTGGTGGCTCAAGCTACAGTATTTACATTGTCTTGTGACTATTTGGGATTTCAAAGTTAAGGTATTCAACATAGAACTTTTAGTTTGCCATATGCTTGTAGTTTTGGAATAGTTAGATATGTTTCCCTTCTTTTAGAAAGCTTTGCCAAGGTATTTTCTTTTCCTTTCCCACTTCCTTATAGTGATTGTCAATTTCACTCCTTTCCTTGTATTCATTTAGTTCTCGTATCCATGTTTATATTTCCATTCCACTGCAAGACTGCCCAGTACAGGACACATTTTGTGAGTGGGTTTCAAGTTCATAATGGCCCTTACCTTCAGAAAAGAAGGCATTATCTTCCAACAAGAACAGCCATTCTTCTTTTCCACCTTCATGGAAATTGGTACTTCCTATAAGATTGCTGTAAGCCTAGATAACAATTCCTTCCTCATCTGAGACAAAGCTGCCACTTTTCACGGGCCCAGGGTTGCCCAATGACCTACTTATTGATACAATAGGATTAATCATCAAGTGGGTAATAGTTGTTACCTGTGATATGGGGAGGACACAGATAGACAAGGTTTTAGATGCAGAATTTACACTAAAAATTGAAAGTATCTGAGTATCTGACATAATACAGCAACCTTATATAGGTACCTGGATATCATAGATTGTTAACTTTTGTGAGTATTACACTGTTAAAGATATAATGGAGCGGAAAAGATTTATACTAGAACATTGAAGAAAAAACTTACATGTACTTAGCCTTTTGATTTTAGGAGAAGACATGCTTTGTATTAAGAAGCTGCTGTCATTGTAGTAATGTTGATAGACTCCTTACACATTTTTATTTAGATGATTATCTCCATCTGTATCATTTATTTCTTTGCAGTTTTTAGTTAGAACTTAAACCATTCTATTCCAGTTTTTTCTTGTTTTTAAAGTATTTTCCTATATTCTAACTTTGGACATTTTCGTTAGCTAAAATGGCATGTTGCAGAAATTTTCTTTATCAGCTCATACTTTTGGACATGGTCTGATATTTCATTCTAAACTTGGAATAGTTTGGATATACTGCTGAGACTTCAGAATTGAATACACAGCTTAGAGAACTAAATGCGGCGTGTCCATGGAAGTTTATTTTGGTTATCACTTATTAGTCATTTCATATGAAGTTTTCTTTTTCTTTTTTTTTTTAAGTTTTCCCAACAACCAATGTAATAATCAACCTACTTTTTGCATGGGCAAATATCACATCCTTTCTGCTTCAGAAGCTTTAGCAGCAGTTAAAAAACCACCTTTTCATCTGTGCTAAAAAACGATTATTTTCCTTTTGTCATTTAGGTTATGGCCAATTTGGGATTTCAAGAAAAGGATCCCATGACACTTCAGATGAGCATTGCACTATCTTTTATGACAAGGAGAAGGTATCAAATCCTTTCACTGGAATCTGTGCTAGATAATTGTAATATCTATTGTGAAGGGAATTTTATAAATATTACTTATTCCTAAGATTGTCTTATTTAATGAAGGTTGAGCTGCTAGAAGGTGGAACCTTTTGGTTGTCAGAGTCACCTTCCGTTCCAGGAAGCACATCATGGGGGTCTGTAGTTCCATCCATTGCATCTTGGGCAATATCCTTTTTTTCTTTTAGACCCCTACATTTGTCTCTTTTTTTCTTTCCTTTGTTGAATTTCTATCCAGATTTGTTACTTTGAACAACATTATAGGCTTGTTTGATTGACATGATTTCCACACATTTCAACTCAAAGGAGTAGAGCCACCTGGTTTTTCATTCCAGATAGTAAATACAAACATGGATGAATTTAGCCCTCGTGCCCGTAGAAGGAGTGCTTTGCTCACGTGGCAGCATATAGCATCCTTGCCTCCTAGCTTGCCAGTTATATTTTGTGGAGGATTCAACACTCAGAAGGAATCGACCACAGGACGCTTTCTGCTTGGAAGATCAAGGTATCTATTTCTGGAGATTTTGTTGATTTTATATTTTAGAGCTACATTATTTGTATTTTATATATTTTCCCATTCATATGTTATTTCATTCTAATTATACTATTTTCCAGTGTTACAATAACTGGTTGAGACCAGACAGTTGGATTATTTGGACCATCAACTGGTTGCAAAACAATTTGGGACAAGTTGTCTGTCCTTTGATCAAGTTTCCTTTCTGTTTTTTTTTTTTTTGTTTTTCTATTCTTCCTTTTATGTTCTTTAAATATTCATGCATTGAATGATTCAAACAGAAAAAGAAACTATGTAACCTTGAACAGTTAACCACTATTACCAGTAGTTAGATATCTTTAAAGAACCAAAAAAATAGGAGATTTTTTTTCAAAATGGTTCAAGTGTTTTGGGGGGGGGGGGGTGAAGTTAAAGAGGGTAACTAGCTTAGGTGGGAGTTTAGCCCCTAAAATGTTAGGATTTCTATAGGTAGGTTTTATTCTGTAAAATAGTCCTTATTTAGAAGGATGAAAGTACTCCTATATTAATTTTTGTTACTATAAATAAGGACAACTTTTGTGTTTTCAGTGGGGAGGTTCCCATTTTCCAAATGGTATGTTCCATATCCAGTTTCAGAATTCTTGCCTTTTCACTCTAATGCAATTACAAATATCTGGACTTCAATGTCATTTAAGTTGGCAACTAATGATTGCTGCTGGCTATTTTCCCTGCAGAGAGCATGGCGTTGTAGGTGACATGAGAGATGCATGGCCTAATGCACGTGTGAGGAAAAATTTTTCACTCATACGCACTTACCATGGATTCAAAGGTATTTTTATTTTACTTCCAATAGTGCAAATGACAATGAAAGTACAGCATACTCAGATTTCATCTCTTTTGCAGGAGATAAACAGGGAACTCTTGAATTCCTCAAGCTGATATTCAGAGCACTTTGCCTTTGCTGGGATCGGCAAACTCAAGATCTACATATTGATTGGGTACTATATAGAGGCCGATCTCTGGTTCCTGTTTCTTGTGAGGTAGTGAATGACAACATTGATGGTTTTTATCCTTCATCTCATTATCCAATATTTGCCGAGTTTATGCTTCCTCGTACTGTCAGGCTACTTGAAGCACCTGTTCAAGATGGAAGTTAGAGTGTGGTCTATGTTGATTTTTATTTCATTTTCTATTTTTTCATCATTTCCCCTCTTTTTGTGGTTGTGGTTCACTGTTTCACTAAGTTATTTCTTGATATTGTGTTATAGCTGTTTGTTTCTCTATGTAAATTTTTTCAGACTGAAGTATTTGAACTGTTATTTCCATCGCTTTTACAAGGAAAACTTAATATTCCATTCCTTGTAACTTTTTTTTTGATGTTTATAGTTTTGATTTTGAAAACAAAACCAGTTGCTATTCATCAAAAAAAAAAAACAAAAAACAAAACAAAACCAGTTGCTACATAGAAAAATAATATAATTTTGTGATGTGGTAGTTGTTTTGATTTAAAAAATAAAACCATACATATTGGTGAACAGCCTGTAAATTATTGACTATGAAGATTAATTAGAAAAATGTTTTTGTTGGAAAAGACTAAAGGCGTTGAAAATATAGCTCAGGTATTACAGCCTAAAACAAATCACAGTCATTTTAGATTGAAAAAGCTGCCTACCGCCTATGTAGAAAATAAAATAGATATTTTGAAACCTATAGGTCCTTGACAAAGTGATGACAAGGAATCGTTTTTATGTGTTCTTGACATAGCACCATACCAACTTCATTTCCAAAATATTAACAAAAGAGTGCATTCTATGTTTTTTGGACAGATTGCATACTATGGTCTATAACTGATCCAACCAGTTGAGATTAAGAACCTTCTCTCTTAGTTTTATCTTTTGCATTTGGAAAAAATATCACATTTTAAAATCCTTTCTCCCTGCTGCCTTTGAGAGCTTCCATCACTCCGTTGAATTCTCATAACTTCCACTTGCTCTACACTTTGCCCTTGCTGCAATGGAATGATTTTGATTATATATAAAAGATAACATATATCCAGCTCTATTCTTTGTTGCATCAAAAGATCCTTCTGTTAAGATATTGATATATTGAATGTTACACCATACATCATGATAACTAGAGCTTTGCTTCTCTTTTGTTGTCTCTTCCGAATCCCAGTGTATATGTAATCTCATTATATAGGATTCTTTTTTAACCCTAAACTTTACTCCTGATGGTGGGGTGATCACGTTGGAATTTTATTAGAAATAAACAAGATAAAATCACAAAATACAGGGAGGACATAGCCCACCTTGCCCCAAAACCCAAGAACAAAAATTTCACCCTAAAACATTCCATTCCAACCAATGAAAACAGAGTTGATCAATTCTGAAACTGATGATCCAGAAGATGCCATTGAGTTCACACCAGTGATTTGAGAGAGCATCTTGAACCCAGTTCTCTCAGCTCGGTAGGGGGAGCTCTGCAGGCTTGCCAAGAGATGGACAGCACGGGGTTGGGTATCTCCTTGTATAGCCAGCATTTTGAGGGGTTATCTGCCCATCAAGGTGACCATTTGGAAATGGCTATGCCGGTGAAAGGATCTACCATTACATAAATTGCAGAAAATAGAAACTGGTCTTACGAGTTATTGATTTGCTTGATAAGATCCTGAATAGGGATGGCAGTTTTTCCCATTTTTCCTATCCCTGCAGGATGTGGATAGGGGAATTTCCATCCCTGGTCCCTGGATGAGTTGCAAGGAAAATTAGTTCTTGCTTGATAGGTTTGACTCCTTATGGGCCTCAGGGCCTCAGACTGATTGTATTTGATAAAGGAAAACCTTATACAAAAAACTTCAAATTTGGTATTCAGTTCACCTTGGTTTGAACTTTTAAGTATGTACAAAGGAATATCATAGTTATCATTTTTTGTTAAAATTAATATGTAAAAACAACCCTAGTTTCTGGACAACCAAGGATGTAATAAAACGTGTTCCAACTTCTAAAAGCACTTTTATCTGGAAAGTCTGTCAACAACGAAGAGTGGCAGGATTTTGTTTTTGGTACCCAACAAAAATTTCTTTGGAACTGCATTTAAGGAAGTTCGAAACTAAAGTCTCATGAAAAACAAACCCAGTGCATAAAAGTTGACAGAGAATAGCACCATGTCATTAGATAGAGTATGCGTATCCATTAATATCAAACATAACGTTAGCTCTTTTGTGAGCACATTCTCCTCAGCAACCTCACATAAGTAAAGCCACTAACCAAGCATTGAAATGCAAGGCATTGAAATTTTACCAATTGATAGATGATCAAGTTAGTTCAAGCTGTTTGAGGTATGGGAGAGGAGAGGAAGTTCAAGCTGGCGGGGAAATGGAGATTGGAATTGTCCATTGAAGCAAAATCTTTCCTGTTTGAGCAGGGAAGGACAAAGGGGAAGGCTCTTTTGAAAATCAGAGAAGGGAGCAGGGCGTCGATTCTCCTACCAGAGGAGGCATGTGTGTGGTTGAAAGGTTTTGTAGATGGAGTTGTAAATTCCTTTCGGGAAGAAGGTTGGAGAAACTCGATGACATGTGAGAACAAGAGGTTCGAATCTGTGCTAAAAAGGAATGGAAAAGGGTGGTTCACAATGGTCACCAAAAGGCCTGAAGCGGAGAGGGTGGGCTTCTTTCGCTTCTAATCTTCAGGCTTTTCTCTTGGAGGTTGAAGGTAGAGTAGAAGAAGCCCCTGGCTCGAAGGTTTGTTTTGTGCCCCGCCCAAAGATTTACCTTGAAGTCTTGGTGTCCAGCTCGTCTGTTTTCCGACGAGTAGCAGTGGAAGAAGGGAGTGGGAGCTGGGAGAAGAGGGTGGTCTTAGTGGCAGAAAGGGTGATAGAAGATTGGACGAAAGTTTTAGAAGTTTTAGTAGAGAGGTTGGGATTAGAGAAAGATGTAATGTTGCTGCCTTTTGCTGAAAAGAAAGCCTTACTAGATATTGGAGATAAGAATCTGTTCTTCAGTTCTTTCCTTGTAGAAGGAAGTTTGATTAAGGTCCAGAACTGGGCTCTAGATTGCAATGAAGTTGAACCCAGAGCTGGCAGTTTTTTGATTAAACTTCTCGGTCTTCCCTTCAACCTTTGGAATGATTTTATTGTGGGGAAAATTACTAGAGCATTGGGTGGAGTTCTGTTGGAGGCTAACTTAAGAAACTTGAGAGCGGTGGAACTTAAGGTTATTGGGATCAATCCGGAGAACTTGCCGCGGTTCTTCGAAGTTCTCTCAGAAGGTGCTTGGTACAAGGTCTGGTTAGCTTCAGAAGTTGAAGCCTTGCTTTGGGGAAGACGACCAGAGGTTGAAGGAACTGACGAGCTCGCAAGGGGGTGTACACGTGGCCTTCAGGGGCTGGCGGGAAAGCCTGTTGTGTGTGGGCGGTTTACAGAGGAAGGGGAACAGTGGCAAGGGCGCCCCAAGTCTCGAAGCCTTCCTATTAAGGCTTCTTTTTCAAATTTTTTTGAAGAGGGGTTGTTTAAAGAAGGTGGCTCGTCCTTTGCTGACGTGGATAAGTTGGGAAAGAGTCGTTTGTGCTCTAAGTCTCTCTCCGAACCGGCTTTAAGAAAGGTYGAGYCGRTCGGGCCAGCGGTTGAGTATTCTTTCGGTTTTAAAAGCCCACGTGACAACTTAAGTCATCACGTGGGGCGGGGCATGCATGGGGCGATGATAGATGACAACTCTCATCTATCATCGTCTAAGTCTCACCCCCTCGACTGTGGAGGGGCGAAGTCAGCAAACAAGGTTGGAGAACGCCGGCCGCTGTGCTGGGTCCGACGGGCAGTCGGCGACGAGCAAAATCTTAGCATTTCTGATCGCTCGAACCCGCGCTATTCGAGAGACAGACCAGAAGAGAAAGAAGAGGCTGATCAAGGTTGGTTGAGCTGCGGTTTAGTTTCTGATCATGATGAAAATTCAGATACCTATGGGAGTTTAGGCAGTGCGGCAGTTGAAGCTCTTTCTAAAGGTCAGAACAGGGATTCATTTATTGGACTGTTTGTTCTTAGAGGATTTGGTGGGGGAAGGAAAGGTGGAGGGGGAGGAGCGGATGTTTGATTTTAACCCAATACTGGCTGAGCCCCCCCTCAGTTCTAGTGCTTTGCAAGAGGCCGAAAAGAAGGTTGCTCGGGTCTTCTCAGAGCAGAACAAGGGTACTTCACAGAGAGGGGTCTTTGTGTTGATACAGCGACAAGGATTTTCCTCCCCCATCTTTGGGAGACAGAGTGCTCTATTTTCTCATAAAAGAAAGTGACTACCTCTCCTTCGCCTTTGCTCTCTCCTCACTTCTCTACCTCAGGTAATTCCCTCAACTCTGTAATTCAGTTTTGGATACTGATGAGCGCTCTGTATCTCTTGTACCAAATTCTCTTCCCAACCAAGAGTCGGAAGCCCTTGGTCTGAAAGCCATAGTGAGTCTACAAGGGGGGGAAGTGGGTGAGGAAACTTGCAGAGAGACAATAATTTGGGAAATCTTAGAAAGCCTCTTGGGTGAAGTGGAAAGGAAGGACTTGCAGAGTGGGAGCCTGGAGGGGACAGACAGGGCTGTGGTTGGAGGTAATGTGAGAAAGAATAAGAAGCTTCCTAGGAGTGAGGAGAGTGCTTCTTTAGAAAAAGAGGAAACTTTTGGGGAAGAGTCAGTTGCAGAGTTTGTGAAAAAGTTGGGGTGCAAGCTGAAGAACCYGAATGATCTAAAAGCCTACATGCAAAATAAAGAGGACAGCAAGATGAAGTTTAGAAGGCTGAGTGAAGTGGAGAGATTAAAAAAGATATTGGGGGGGTTAAATAGTTCTTGGAGGAGTTAGGGTTAAAGCTTATAGTTTTCAATGAGAATCCTAAGTTGGAATGTGAGGGGGTTGGGTAGCATTAGGAAGAGAGCAACAATCAAAGAGGTAATTAAAAAGTTTAATCCGGATGTGGTTATGCTTCAGGAGTCCAAAAGAATGGATTTTGATTGCATCTGGGCAAGGAGTGTGTGGAGTTCTAGAGGTATTAAGTGGGTGGCTGCTCCTTCGTGGGGTTCCTCGGGAGGGATTGTGACCCTGTGGAAARARGAGATACTCTTAGGTGTGGAGGAGCTAATTGGAGATCACTCTGTCTCCCTGAAGTTCAAACAGGTGGCCGATGGGTATGAATGGGTACTAACAAATGTGTATGGCCCCAATGACTATAGGCAAAGAGAGAAATTATGGGAAGAATTGAGTGACATTAGAGGCCTTTGGGATGAACCCTGGTGTGTGGGAGGGGACTTTAATGTAGTGAGATTTATGGAGGAAACCAACCCCAGACAAAGAGTGACAG